AGCTCAACTATCTGCATATTCCTGATAATAAAATGGATACACCATCATTTCCAAATGATCGATTCATCCAAACCCTGCTTTGTGCTATTGAATTAGAGTCTTTGCAAATTCCATATCAACAAATCTTCCAAGTTTGTGTTGCTACTAACATTTCTCCTCTCCATTTGTAGCACTCACGACTCGGACATACCTTAGTCGGTAAACTTCGTCCACTTATCTCTCGTGGTTTATTAGGATCAGTTCCGAATGAATTTGTGCATTGTGTGTCATGTCAATCTGCAAAGCAACCAGCTTTATCTTTTTCGAGTAGTCATTCTCATTCTACTGCTCCTTTTGATCTTGTGCATTCTGATGATTGGGGTCCATCTCTTACACCCACCATGGGGGTTTCAAGGTACTTCATGTTATTTATTGATGATCATACTCGTTTTACCTAGATATACCTTATGAAAAGTTGCTCTGAATTATCACAATTTTATATTGATTTTACTACCATGGTCAAAACACAGTTCTCTAAAATTATCAAAGTTTTAAGAACTGACAATGCTATTAAATATCTTGGTACTAAACTTCAATCCTTTTTGAAAGAACAGGGTACACTACCACAACAATCTTGTCCTTATGCTTTTGAACAAAATGGGCAAGCTGAACGCAAACACAGATACATCCTTGATTCTGTTCATGCTCTGCTCATTTTATCTTCTTTCTAGAGCAATTTTGGGGTGAGGCTGCTCTTACAGTTGCTTATCTTATTAGTCGCATTCCATCATCAGTCCTTAATAACCAATCTCCATATGAGCGTCTACATGGTATTCTTCCTGCTTATAATCTTCTTAAGGTTTTTGGTTGTGCATGTTTTGTTCTTCTTCCCCCTCATGAACATAACAAGTTAGAACCTACAGCTCGATTATGCTGTTTTTTGGGTTATGGGATTACACAAAAAGGATATCGTAGTTGGGATCTTGTGTCACAAAAACTCTGAATTTCACGTCATGTTGTCTTTTGGGAACACACTATGTTCTCATCATTGTCAAACTTCAAAGTGTCATCCTCTCATCAACCTCCATTTTTTACTAATCCTTCTATTGAGCTATTTCCAAGTGATTCTAATGCAGGTACATCTGATGAGCTCTACGATGCCTCATCACATGCTCCAACTAATTCTGTAGAAGATGACCTACCTGCTGGTAATGCATTAGATAATTTTGAGCCTTCTTCTACTTCCTCATCTGTATCACCTGTTGATTCTACAAATGAGCTTGTTGTCCCATCCTCGAGTCATCCTACTCGGGTAAAAAACCCTCTCAACTTCCTTCGTGACTATCATTGTTTTCCTGCTATTACTTCGTTATATGAGCCTCAATCCTATCAAGAGTCCTCTTCTAACCCTCTTTGGCAACAAGCTATGCAAGATGAATTACAAGCTCTTGAGAACACTCGTACATGGGATTTAGTTGATCTCCCTACTAAAAAATCTCTAATAGGGTGTAAATGGGTGTACAAGATCAAAACAAGATCTGATGGTTCTGTGGAGCATTATAAGGCACGCTTGGTTGCCAAGGGTTTTACATAGGAGTATGGAATTGACTATGAGGAGACATTTGCTCCAGTTGCTCATATTACATCTGTGCGTAGTTTGCTTGTTATCGTTGCTATGCGGAGATAGAAATTGTTTCAGATGGATGTGAAAAATGCTTTTCTTAATGGTGACCTAGAAGAAGAAGTTTATATGAAACCACCTCCTAGGCTCAACCATCCTCCAAATAAGGTATGCCGATTGCGCCATGCATTATACGGGTTGAAACAATCCCCTCGAGCCTAGTATGCAAAGTTTAGTGCTATTGTGAGTGTGTTTGGTTTTACTTCCAGTCCACATGATACAGCTTTGTTCATTCGTAAGACTGCTCGGGGTATGGTTCTTTTACTTCTTTATGTTGATGACATGATTATTACTGGAGATGATGTCGCAGGTGTTGAGGAGTTAAAACAATCTCTCAGTCAGAAATTTGAGATGAAAGATCTTGGTGTTCTGAGCTATTGTTTGGGGCTTGAAGTGACCTCTTCAGATGATGGCTACCTACTTTCTCAAGTAAAGTATGCCTCTGATCTTGTTTCTAAAGCTAAACTCAATGATGGTAAGAGTGTTTCTACACCTCTTGAACCTAATGTTAAGCTTACACCTATGGATGGCTCTCCACTTTCTAATCCTACTCGCTATCGGCAATTGGTTGGTAGTCTAGTTTATCTTACTACGACACGCCCTGATATAGCATATGCATTTCACATTGTTAGTCAGTTTATGGCTGCTCCTCGCTCCACTCATTATGCAGTAGTACTTCGCATTATTCACTATGTTAAGGGAATATTATTTCATGGACTCCATTTTTCTGCCAACTCCTCCCCTGTGCTTTGCGCTTACTGTGATGCTGATTGGGCCGGTGATCCTTCTAATCATAGATCTACCACTGGTTACTGTCTTTTCCTTGGTAATTCTCTTATCCTTGGCGAAGTAAGAAACAAGCTATTCCATCTCGCTCTAGTACTAAAGCTAAGTATAGACCTCTCAGGGATACCACATCAGAACTTCTTTCATTGTGGTGGCTTCTTGAAGATATGGGCATTCCTCAACCTTCTTCTACTGATTTATATTGTGATAATCAAAGTGCTATGCAGATTGCTCATAATGATGTCTTTCATGAACGCACTAAACACATTGAGGTTGATTGTCACTTTATTCGCCATCATGTTGCACAAAGAACTGTTCATTTGGTTTTCGTTAGCTCCACTAATCAACTAACAGATCTCTTTACCAAAGCTCATTTTCTTGGACGCTTTCGTACTCTTCTTTCCAAACTCAAGTTGGTTTCATCACAACCACCTTGAGTTTGAGGGGGGATATTAAGATGTGAACACAATTATATTTAGAATTATTATAAATATTTTAATACTTTAGAATATTCTCTTTGTAAACACCTATATATAGGTCATTGTACATACAGTATGATTCAAGAAAGCAATAAACATTTTTTCAAATTATTCTTCTTTTTGGTTTTCTAACAGGTTGGATGGTCGGATCTCTGTATGGTGCGCTACTCAAGTCGAGTTTTCGGGCCCGAAGAAACTCTGCCTGACTATTTTGTTCCATCTTATCAATTTGTGTCCCACGTGAATCAACTCAATGTGACATTGAATTCTTTGCTGGAAGATTTGACCAATCGTGCAGCCGCCGGAGGCAGGTATGTGGCGACGGATCCGACTGACCTTATTAATATCGACTCGTCTGTGCAATGCAGCCCTGATCTGTCCCAGCAAGAATGCAGAAATTGTCTGGAGACGGCCCGCGGAAAGATTCAGCAATAGTGCTATGCGAGGATAGGATGTAGAATTCTACAACCCAACTGTATATTGAAATATAAGGCCGAGGATGGTTTATCTCGGCCATCACGGCCGCCGTCTTCACCTCCTCGTCCAACACAAGGTAGAGTATACGCTCGCTATTCCAACTTCATTTAAAGTAAAAAAAAAAAATTTAATCTTTGGAAAACTTCAAAGTTAGTCTCTAAATTTATTCTCTTTTCACAATCAAGTCCCTAAAGTTTTTTTCTTTTCCTTCTTGCGTTGGAAGTTAGTTGCTTTGTATTGAAGGCCTTGAACTAGAACTCCCAAAGTCCCATTCTTGATCCCATATCTAAGTTTTATGCTTAGCGGTACTCATTCATCAAACTCAAGCCTCGTTTGATATAGCGGTTTTGGAGTAGCAGTTAACGTTTTTACCTAAACCGCTAAATATAGATGTTTGGTAAATTTATATATTTCGAAACCGTTATAAATAAAGTGTTTGGTAAAATTTTTATTTAGTAGTTTGAGACTAACGGATAGTGGTTAGAGTTCAAACCGCTAGCGGATTAAAAAAACTAGTTTATGTAACTTTTTGTACCAAACCACTAACGGATTAAAATTTTTTAATTTTATTTACAAATTTATCCATTTTAATTTTTTAATTTGTGGTCACATTTTTTAATTAATAATTAT